AAGTGCAATCCCGTTGTCCCTAGCCCTGGCGAAAGAAAGATTTTGGCTCAGGCGCATACACATATGGCTGTGGGACCAGTTTTCTTCTATATTACAGATGGGCAGGATATAGGGTTTAGGTTATTGAGTTCCAGGATAAATCATAGAACTGTGAACTTACAGACACAACTGAGGCCGTAGAATTTGGCTTCTATCTGGCACGCCTATCGTTGGTAGCTGAGCCCGGTGCAGACGGGATAAACTTACACGGTAGCGGACACCCTGAGGCATGGATCTTTGGCAAATTTGCTTGGTTGGTGGCCGCTAGCAACCTTTTACCCTGTTGACAGACTCGGATGTGATCGTTTATGCTTGCGGGATCAGCCCTGTCGAAGCTAATTTGGCCATCTCTCCGGAGTGGCCACCAATAAACAGTTCCCGGGCGCAACTAACGTCAAAAACGGAAGAATGGTCGGACATGTTCCCGGGGAAAAGTGTTCCCGGGCGCAAAAAACGCTTGGCGACAGTCCTTCAGGTATGCCAACGAACACAGCTACATTACTCCACTTACACTTACCAGCACTTCCAAACCACCGGCGTGGTGTATGCCAGAGTCACCATATCCCGCCGACACCACAGATTCATCTATGTCGGATGCACGCATAACACCATGCAACACCGTGAAAGCAACCGCAACCGGAAGTTTCGTCAACTTACCAAAGACGCCATCGTCGATGCAGAACTATCCTTAAGATGGTGGCGACAACACCAAAACTACCACCAGTTCTTTCCCCTCGTTATACAGTACAACGTACCACATGATTACTTGGAAGCCCAAGAACAGACCTTCATTCAGCACTTCCAGCCAAAACTCAACTTTCCACACATTGCTCCACATATGAAAAAAGCTTTCCGGGGCATCACACAACCAGCGCGCCACAAAATACAGCAAAGAGCAGGCATCGCGTCCATTTGGGCCAAACTCCGAAGACGACACCTACCACCCACTCTCCGACTACTCCATAAGTCTCGGACTTTTCAACGCCAAACACAAGTTTGGCACACCATTTGCAGTCTAGCGTCCAACACCAAAAGACGCTTCGAGTCTACCAAAGAACTCATGAGACGACGCACCCCTTCAGCCCAGCTATACGCTTACCATCGCATTGCGCGCAATTTACCCACCACACACCAACGCCCTGCCACAAAAGCTATTGCTACAGCCATGCGCAAACGTGCGCTACCTGTTCCAAAAACCCGCAGACCAGCCATTTTACCGTACCTCGCGCACCCATCACAAACCATCACAACCCGAATGTTTCTACGTCACCAGATCACATTGCACCGCCAGCACACCCTACCTCTACATCCCCCCACTACCACTGTCGTTTTCGCACGGCACCCACGGGTACAGGATCGCATTCACAACTGGCGACAGGTCCACCGACACTGGACACCAGACCAACCGCCTCGATGCATTTGCCAACATCTTCAACAAGCACACCCTTCCCACCTCCACAATGGCCACATCGCCATTCCTCTTTTTACTCTCGTCCCACAACACCATTTCCTCAGATACTCTGGCAGAAGCACCTTCTTCCCGCCAGCAAAGTAGCTCCGCCGGGATCTTTTAGCAGCGATTCAGAGGTGGCACAAAACACACCACCTTCCAACACCTGCAGAACAAAACACAGCTATCACTGCCTTCCTTGAGCAGCAGATACAGCTTCATGAACAACACCTCAGCAACAAACTTAACTTTCACATAGTCAGCAACGCCAGACGCTGCATTCCCAACGGCGTCATCCACAACGAAGACCACCTTCCCAACAAGCTCATGTGGTACTGTCCGCAACTTTATCATACCGCTATCACCAACACCTTCCTCGACAAAGAGGTCTTCCATGTTACCTGGGAGCCCGTTTGACCGTAACTTAGGTGGCCGTAGGCCGCATGAACAAAACGCCGTGAAAAAGAGCATTGGCCGTGCAAACCCATATGACCGCGAAACCATGTGTGAATTCACGGGGGGGGGGAATTCACAGAAATTCACGGTTTGT